GGGGGCAGGGGCAGGGGTCGTTAACCTTTTTGCGTGCCTGCGACCGCACAAATTATTTGAAAATATGCCTGCAAAATGTCTCCATGCAACATGTGAAATCACGACGCGATGAGCCATCAGCTATGAATTACTATAGGTACCGATTACTAGGCTGGCTTATGAGTTATGAGTTACGGCTTTATATATTTTTGGCCTAAGAAATCGAGAAGACTCACAATCACGCATGTGCACCGTGCACTGGTACACGAAATTTTAACTTGTCAGTGTCCCTATAATCAACAAAGATTTTCATAAACTAATAGTAACAGATAGTAAAATACATAATAAAACTAGAGGGCACTCAGAGACTGCATACCTCCGCCCGTTACTCGGAAGTGAAAGGCAACCTTGGAATTTCCTAAGAAATCCACTTTACAATTCTTAAGCATAAAAGATTTCAGGCCCCCGCGAATTGAAATCGAATTGCTAATAGAACATATTACTGTTGTTGTGCCGTACAGTACTTGTAAAATAAAAACTTATTAAGTGTCATTAAATAAATGCATAAATTTTGCTTTATGCACTCGCGCGTGCAGTAATTTTCACAGTTGTGCTATTTTAAATTCCCAGGCAGCTAAAATCTTTTGTCTTTAAAACAATGTCGATTTCTTGGGAAATTCCGAGGTTGCGTTCTTTTTATACACCCTGTATTGAAGTAATCTAATTTGTTAGAATTTGAATGGACTGGCACTTTGCTGAACGTAATAATGCGTAACTCCGTAAGCCTTGTTTTAGACATTGAATTTCGGTCGCGTGCAAAAGCAAGACAAAATTTTGTTCATTTCTCGTTCAATTTTTAACGAAATTCAACCAAATTTTAATCAGTTCTTCCTTAGCCGATGGGAAATGCATTCAAAAAATTTCGTACGGATATGTTTGGTATTTCTTGAGTTATCGTGCTCACAGACAAACACACACACATACACACACACACATACATCATGTATATGTGTATGTGTATGTGTATATCATCATACTGATCATGCTTATGATCAGATAAACCCTTGCCAAAACGGTTTTGTGCCGAAAAAATCCTGCATCACCCAACTCATCGAAGTCCTTGATCACATTGGCCGTGACTTAGATCGTGGTAAACAAATTGACGTAATTTATTTAGACATGTCAAAGGCCTTTGATAAAGTGAGCCACGCAAAGCTGTTACATCGCCTTCGTGAATTCGGGTTTGGAGGAAGCATTCTCAAATGGTTCGGTTCATATCTGACCAACCGATATCAACAAACGACC